GTATTTCTCTTACCGGAGACTAGTTCCGGGCTTCCTACCCCATGGCGGTTACATCTCGACTCTTGTGTTTCTCCTACCCAGAGTCCTTCTGGACTCCTAGTCCCTCATATCTAGATTCCCTATTGGCCAGACAGTGCTTTATTGACAAATGCACAGGACTTCCCCAACAGTGTTCCCTTTCAGTATGGTTTCTGATGAGGTTGGAAAGGTTATATCTAGAGACTTAACATTGTTATTTAACTGACCAGTAAGTGTCAGAATCCTAGTATGACCTTCAACTATGCCACAATCTCCTCTAAGTAGTCAGACATCTTTAGTACTAATTTCTTGTTGATTTTGTAGGGTATTTTTTTCTGGTATGTATGTTCATACTGTACTGTTTGTAATTCCTCTGGAGTTCCCTTAAATTCTAATTCAGTCATTCATCAGCCTTAGATGAAACCAAAACAAAAAACAAAACACTCCACAGCCCGTTAGCAGCATCTAGTGGTTACTTGGAGACAAGACGTTTTCCTTTGTAAAGCAACACTTTGAATGGCAACTCTGACTTATGGGGGGAAAGATTTCCTTAAATCTTAAATCAAATGTCTCCTGTGAGTAATTTTACAGGCATGGAAGTGTGCTTCAGTGCCTAAGTGTTGCTGACTGTTTCCTCACATAGCTTGCTGTGAATATGCATAGTATTTGTTACTGCTCCATCAAGAATTCTTCACCTGAAGCCTGTTGGAGGTATCCACTTCCTAAGGACCTGCTTGGCCCCCTTCACTCACTGGGTTTGCCTTCTCACCATATTTTTACTGCGTCTTCCAGGTCTACTGGAGGTGATGGCAGCTGACTGGGGCGAGAAATGACACTCCCAGTGTCTACTGTAGCTCTTGGCTCCTCCAGAGCTTGAGCGCTCAAGACGGCAATGTGCTTCGGCTGAGTGTTCTATTCTAAAAGGGATTTGCACTCTATCTGTAAGACATAAGGGAAGGTCTCTCTGCCATATTCCAGAATGAGGAGGTGATAGCCTGAGAGTTTCTTCTTGACCATCTTAGAGCCATTTCTAATTTGCCCCTGCGTTCACTTCTCCATCTACAATTAGATGTGATTATTCCCGCCCCTGCAATTTTCATAGATAATTCTCCATAATCAGTTATGTATGGAAATGTTTGTACTCACTGAAAAATCCATAAAGCCTGCATTATAGATGTATTTTGGCTCATAGTTTTTCAAGCAGTGAAGTTCAAGACTAGGCTGCACCATAACATGGCGATGACATCCCTATTATCAAGGTTTTCACATCACACAGCGTGCTCATGAGATTGACAACCCGGTGCATACAGAAGACACCCAGGCAAAAGCAAGGTGAGATACTTCATTATCAGCCCTGCCTGTAAGTAATAAGTCCGTCCTCCAACACCCTACACTTCTCCTGAGAGGAGACCCAAAAGTGGTTCCTCATGACTCAGTCAATGCTGTCTCGATTTTACCTGATAACCCTGCCACTTGGAGAAATTCAGCTTAAATATGCATCAGTAGGGACAAACTGTTGCCAGCCATAGAGTGGCATCCTTTTGTTCCACCTAGATAGAAATCATGAGCTGGCAAGGAGCTCTTCTATGTTGGCAGTCCTGGGCCCAAGGCATAGGGGTTGGACTGAAAAACCCAGAGATTTACAAGTGTCAAGCCAAAAGAGATAGAGGACCATCACACCAGCCTTTAGCAGTCAGACTTACAAGCTTAGGCCCTCGAGTTGGAAGCCTATCTTGCTGGACTTTAATCACTGGTTGTTGCAGCATCAGCAGGCTGTTTGAATCCCTGGTGAATAGTGCCAGCAGGTAACATCACATAGTACTTACCGGAGTAATAGCTTCTGAGAAGCTCTCAAGACTTTGGACCCTCAGCTCTTAGATGCTAGCTAAGATTATAGCTCTTACACCTGGGGTTTTGGGCCCCTTTGCCTTTAACAGCGACTGTCATTGTGTCTTCCATGGTCAGGATGTAGGACACTTGACCCTGAAGACATGGCACCTCCCAGAAAGTTTTCTAGTAGCTAGGGCCTGCAATGTCTTGTCTTCAACTATTCACAGCCTTCTCTGTCTCTGCCAGCTGAGCTTCTTGCCCTGGTTGCTCTCTGGGGCTCTCTTCTGCTCTCTTGCCGCCACCATCACAGTCACTGTCAGCCATCCTTTGCTGTTTCTGCCGTCTTCTCTTTGTGTTACCAGGTCAGCCACTTTAATGACACCTACGATGATGAATATCAAAAGGAGGCAAGAGATGATCACTCAAGAGAAGCCTTTTAATGAGCCTAATCTTGAGCCAGCCATGGCGGTGCACACTTGTAATCCAAGCACTGGGGAATGGTGGGAGTTGGAGAGAAGAGGATTAGGAGTTCAAAGCCAATCTTAGATACATAAGGGAGTTTGAGACTAGCCTTGGATAAGATCTTGTCTCAACCAAACCCCTTCCTACAACCAAATAATAATATGATAATGGGCCTAGTGTTGCCACAGAGGAGTGTCTCCCAGCTAACTGGAAAAGTGAGTTGAGCAGTCTAATTACATGGCCAGGAGGGGCTGTTGCAATTATGACAGTCATTTGCACAAATGAAAGACTGTGTTTGAACTAACCACAGACATTCTTTTGGAAGTGCTACCCTCTGACCTGACTGAGAATAGCAGTGGGTAACCAGGTTCATCTAGCATTCCCCACAGCTTGTTTTATTTAGCCTGCTGCTTCCCAGGGCTGTTACAGGTTGTCTGTGATGTTCAGAGCAGGAGTTTGTCTTCATCTATGACTGTGATGGTCCTCTTCAGCTGCTACGTTGTCCTCAGAGTGGAGGGGGCCTGTCAAAAGTCTCACTCTTGACAGTTTTACTAATCCACAGAAAGCATTAAAATACAATAATAATGTGTTGAAAACTAAGAATTTTTTTCCTAGAGAGTTCATCTGGTCTTTTCGCTTATCTGCCTGTGGACATTTAGGTCATTATTTTCCTAAGTGAGCACTGATCTTGTGTGCCAAAACAGTAGTGCTGTTTTGTTTAAAAATGAAAATTACTCAAGCCTCTTTTTAGAGCTGTTCAAGTGACCTCTGGGAAGAGGACAGAGGACTCTACACATTAAAAAGCTTTTCCCCCAGTCTATCTCTTTTCATTCTCTCTTAGCTGTAGGGATCAGAACCAATGCCCCACACATACTGAGCAAGCACTCTATTAGTGAACTATCGCCAACCCAAGGCCTAATTTTAGCAGACCCACAGAGGACCTACCTCCAACTCACCTTGAGTGTAGGCGTCATTAGATATAGAACAGGAGATAGAAGATAGGAAAATTGTTGGGCGGTGTCTGTATGATGGCATTCTGATTCAAGTTTTGGCTAGCACCATTTTATGCTGGATCCTAGTCATGCCTGACCAAAAAGGTCAGGAAAGTTTGTTTTGTTTTGTTTTAAGTTATAGCTCTAAATAATTAAGGATATTTTTATTTGTTCTGAAATAAATCCACTTACAGATACCACAGTATGTATACCTACCTTTGAACTTTTCAAGGAAGGGGTTTCTTGTTTGGGCAGATTTCATACCCTGACTCTGAAAGAAATAGAAGTTCAGGAAATCAGTTTGGAAATATCAACTAGATTTTTCATCTATTATTCAAGTAAAGTTATAAGAAATAGAGGGCAATCCCACCCTGGAGACTCTCTCTCTCTCTCTCTCTCTCTCTCTCTCTCTCTCTCTCTCTCTCTCTCTCTCTCTCTCTCTCTCCCTCCCTCCCTCCCTCCTTCCCTCCATCCTTCTATCCCTCCCTCCCCCCTCTCTCTCAGATCTGGTGTGCGTGACTGAATATGATTATATAATTTTGAGTCTTTGAGAGAGATTGGAGGTAGGGGAGGTGGTATTTTTCTAGAGCACTTTCATTGAGTTTCTGATAGCCTTCTATCACTGTAGCTTGAATTGCCCCCTCAGTAATGTTACAAAGCTTGGATCTGAGTAAAAATATAAAATTAGCTCTCCTGCTTCAATGACTCCTAATTCAATACAGGTGAGAAGGTGGTGGGGGCTTGACCCTTTGTGGTTTTAGCAAGTATTACATGTGATTTTTTTTTTATCATCAAACACTTTAAGAAACACTGGCCTATCTTCTCCTCCTTGCGGAAATCACTGTATCTGCTTTGAGGTGAATCCAAGGAGCTCATTGGTATGCTGCATATGGTGTAAGGGGAGTAACAGGCCCTATCGTGTTTATTGAGAATGCCCAGTACAAGTTTCCTTGACCAATGTATTTGCAAAACAAATATTCAAATTCAGAATTCTGGTCCAATGCAGTGGTTCTCAATCTTCCTAATGCTGCAACATTTTAATACAGTTTCTCATGTTGTGATGACCCCAAACCATAAAATTATCTGTGTTGCTACTTCATAACTCTGTTACTGCTGTGAATCATAATGTAAATATATGATATAGAATATCGATATGCGGAGCCTCTGGAGGTTGTGACACACATGTTCAGAACCACTGGTCTAAAGAGACTTTAAGAACCTGTAGGAAAATTCCAGCTATTCTTTAAAACAACTCTTTCCTTGTCTTGCTACTTGTACTCAGATATATTGATCACACACACAGAGAGACACGAAGCTAGTTTATACGGTGACCCTGAATTCAAAGGCTAAATTTGTTTGAAATCTCTGAAAAGTTCACCTGCTTCTGGAGCAGATTTACACTGCTGTTTAAGCCTCCATGGAAGGAACTATGTGGAGGCAGAAATAGGGAATTGCCATACAGAGTCTGTTTTCTTAGGAGATACAGTGCTAATCTGTTGACCCTGGCACGAATTGTGTGTCATTCAAAGGGGTGACTTTTTCTGAGAGGGAGGTACCCTTTCTCCTATGTTAATGCTATAAATGTTTTTGTTATATTTTATAATTTTCATTATACAAAAGAATTTTCTCAATACATGTGCTAAAGAAAAAAAGCACATTTAATCGTTGAACTCTAAGGAGGATAAGAAATACCTGTTTGGATGAGAGTTTTGTTTCTTTCAAATAAATATAATCATGACTTTATCTTAGCTCTTTGGAGAGAAGCCACTCAATAAATGCACTAAAACCTGAAAAAAAAGAAAAGAAAAGAAACACTGGCCTAAATGTGAAAAAAACTGATGAAGAAAATATCAATTTAAATAATAATTTTACACCGGGTGTGATGGCATATACCTTTAATCCCAGTACTCAGGAGGCAGAGGCAGGCAAATCTCTGTGAGTTTAAGGCCAGCTAATCTACAACTTGTGTTCTAGGACAGGCAAAGCTGTTATACAGAGAAACCATGTCTAGGGAAAAAATTCACATCTACATTTATTCAGGTAAGAGTGACGGCAAGTGTCCAAGTTTCCATTTCGACACAGATTTGCACATCTATGAGACACCTGCAAGTCAGATTTCAGCATGATAAAAGAAATATCAGTGAGGAGGTTGTCTGTACTTGTGTTTTCATCTGCTGTTGGCTAATGGTAAAACCCACCTTTCCCCAAGTCAGGCCAGGTAGGAGCAACGTCGATTGACTGTAACTAGGAGTACTTCACTTGACTCTTCTAGTAAACTGTGTAGATTATTCTCCATTTATTAGAATCCCCTTCAAAAGATACAGGAAGTCATCTGAGGGTGGCTTTATCTACCTTTGATAGAGGCTGAAGGGTCCCAGGCCAATCTTGACATTGTCTGCCACTGTGTGGCTACACTCCAGATTTCTAAAGTTGTCTCAGGCTTCGGCTTATTACTGTACAGATGTGCCAACCACAGCTGGCATGTCCTTGACATACTCCAAACTGTCTTTTCACCTTACTTGTATTTTACAGATTAGGGAGTGGAGATGAAATCAGCCAGAACTCGGTTCCTTTACCCTTCTCCCACAATTCCGCAGGCGCAACCAGGTCAACACATCTGCTGACTTCAGAGTGCCGCCTTCCCAAGAGCCAGATCCTTTCAGACCAAGTTCTAAAGCTCTAATTCCTTAGGCCAAGGGTGAGCTTTTTTTTTTTAAATCAAAGCTTCTTCAGTCACTCAAGGCTCCATGCACCATCACCACAGGGTCATGCAAGCCAATCATCTTAAGCCTCCCACTCTGGCCCTACATGGATTATCTTGAAGAGACTGAGGTAAAGTGAAAACATTGCTTGATTGAAAGTTGTCAAATGGCTAGATCATCAAAGAGTTAAGATGCAGTCAAAGATGGCACCGAACTGGCGTGTCAGCTGCTTGACACACGTCTTACAACACCTTTGTAAGGCACATTGTAAGTCGTATCACGTGACTTTGCAGATGAGGAAAGGGGCTCAGACAAGTTAAGCAATTTGCCCTATATCAGAGGTAGTAAGGGAGAGGGGACTAGGTTTCCCTCGGGGTTAGAGTAGTGACTAAATCCCACTTTGAAGCTTGTGTCTTTAGAAGCTCACTACTGCCACCTCAAGACCTTTTGAAGTGAAAGGGCTCTGACAGACCAAAGCAGATGACACCAGGGTATCGAGAATGCACTTTACTGTCCTTTTGGGAGAGTAAGCAAGGAAAAGACTAGACATCAAGAACAGGCCCCAGAGACACATGAAAAATTGTTTTCTAACCCCCTATACTATATACTGTTTTGAAATCCTTCACTGATATATTGTTTTAGAAATAAGTAAATGAGGCTATCAAGATGGCTCAGCCAGGTGGTGGTGGTGCACGCCTTTAGTCCCAGCACCCCACAGGCAGAAGCAGGAAGATTTCTGCGAATTCAAGACCAGCCTGGTCTAGAAGAGCAAGTTCCAGGACAGCCTCCAAAGCCACAGAGAAACCCTGTCTCGAAAAAGAAAAGAAAACAGTTGGCTCGATGATAAAGAGCACTTGCTGCTCTTGTAGAAGACCAGGTTCAGTTTGCCACACCAACATGGTGGCTCAGCGTCATCCACAGGAAGACCAAGTCCTCATCTAACCTTCTTATCATGAGGCATACATGTGGGACACATACATACATGCAGGAAAACGTTCATGCACACAATATAAATAAGTCTAAACAACAAAAGAAATGAAGTTCTGGCATTACCCAAGCATCTTCTGAATTGTCTCTAGAAAATAGCTTATTTGAGAACAAGAGTGAGGGGCACGACTGATGTCTCACAAAGCCTGTAATGTTTGAAAACTCAGAACCAACAGTCCACCTGGCCATATCTCGTTGCAAAAATCCTACCGATATGAAAGATCAAGTTGTAGTTACTCTCCAAAACCTGCCAGTTCTGAGGAAATGTTTGCTAATGAGAAAAATTATCTAAATAAACGCATGAGAATTGCCTAATGAACACCAGTACACAATTTAAGAGAACAATCACGAACTTCATCAAAGAATTTGAGGGATTTAAAGGAGATACAAAGAAACAGCTCAGTGAAAGTAAGGAGGAAGAACTTATGGAGAGAGAACATCTGAATAAGCAAACTTAAGGCTGATGGAAATGATTAAAATAATTCAAGACTTAAGAACAGAATTCAATAAGGAGATAGAAACAATGAAGAAGACTTGGGCTGAAATGAGGATAAAATTGAAAACCCAGTATCTCAACTATAAAATTCAAAAGAAAGACTTACAAGTAGAATGAATCAAGCAGAAAACAGGATATTAGGATGTAAAGATAAAGTAGAAGATCTAGAGCAAATAATCAAGGAATATGAAAATGCTTACATAGCACAAGATAGGAACATACAGTAAATGTGGAGCACCATAAAAAACCTTCAAATCATGCACATAGATAAGGAAAAATAATCCCAAGATAGACCATATCTTCAATGAGATCATAGAAGAAAACTTCCCTAAACTAAGAAAAGACACACTCATACATTTGCAAAAAGCACACAGAACACAAAATAGGCAAGACCAGAAAAGAAAATCTCCACAGTATCAGAGTTAAAACACTAAATATACATAACAAAGAAAGTATATTGAAAGTTTTGAAAAATAACACAAGTCACATAAAAAGGGAAATCAACCGAATAAGGGCTGATTTCTCAATGGAAACGTTGAAAGGCAGAAGAGTCTGGAGCAATGCATTCCAAGTCCTAAAAGACTATAATGGCCAGGCTAGACTGATATACCCAGCAAAACTACCTGCTATAACTGAAAGAGGAAGAAAAACTTTCCATCATGTAAACAGCCTAAAAAATTTGTATCCAACAAACCAAACACAAAGAAAATACAGTAGTATTATTTTGATCTGAAGGGAAGAATGAGCATAGCAGAGAGACTGTGTAAGAAATTAAGAAACCATAATCAATTTGATTACTGTGAGCAGGCATCACTATCCTAACATGTGACAAAATGGACTTCCAATTAAAACTATCCAGAGGTAAAGATGGGCACTGCACTGTAATCAAGAGAATAGTTAACCAAGAAGACATTACTATCCTAAACATCTATGAACTAAACTCTTAGACAACCAATTTCATAAAAAAACCTACAACTGAATTTAAAGATACAGATTAATATGAATACACTAATATTAGATGATTTCAATACCCCACTTTCTCCCATAGACAGATTATCTGGGCAAAAAATAAACAGGCAAACATCATAATTAATTGATGTGATGCATGAATCATTTGATATCTACAAAATATTCCACTCAAACACCAAAGAATACACATTTTATTCATCATCACATAGAAACTTTTCGAAACAGATCACATCCTGGGACACAAAACACATCTTACAAGTTCAAAAATGGTGACATCACTCCTTTAAGCTGATATGACCACAAAGCAATAAAACTAAAATTGAAAGCAAACACATTTCCCAGTAAATAAAAAATACTCATGGGAATTAAATAACTCATTGCTGAATGAAAATAAGAAAAAAATAAAAAGTTTCTGGTGCTGGGTGGTGGTAGTGCACACCTTTAACCCCAACACTTGAGAGGCAGATGCAGGTGGATCTCTAAGTTCAAGGCCAGCCTTGTCTACAGAGTGAACTCCAGGACAGCCAGAACTATTTCACAGAGAAACCCTACCTCAGAGAAAAAAAATTTCCCTGGAAGTAAGTGAAAATGAAAACACAACAAAACAAAAACCTCTGAGATACATTGAAAGCAGTCCTGCAAGGAAAATTTATACCTCTAAGTGCCTAGCATTAAAAAAATCAGAAAATAAATAACAATGATAGAAAGACAAGAACAATCCAAATCAAAACCTAATCAATGGAAAAAATAATAAAAAAATAAGAGCTGGAATCAACCAAATGGAAACCAAGAAAGCAATATAAAGTATCAATGAATCTAAGTCAGTTCTTTGGAAAGATAAACAAGATTGGGGGACCCTTAACCCAACTTACCAAAAGAAAGACAAGAAGGACCCAAATTAACAGAATTAGAGGTAAGCAAAAAAGATTACAATAGACACAAAATAATAATTATGATAATAATAAAAAGATTACAATGGACACCTAACAACAATAATAAATAATAATCAGAATATTAACAATCTGTACCCCATTAAACCAAAATCTAAGATAAATAATTTCTAGATTCAACCAAACCACTAAAATTAAACCAAGAATAAGTCAACAACCTGAATAGACCAATAACAGATGAAGAGACTATAATAGTAATTTAAAAAAACCTTCTAGCTTAAAAGAAAAATCATGAGGACATAGTTTAAATATTCATATTCTACTAAATTGGAGTATCTAAGAGAGAAATGAATTTCTAGATACAAATGACCTACCAGAGTTAAGCCAAGAAGAAGTAAATAATTTAAACGAATCTGTATCAATAAATGAGGCTGAAGCAGTCATTTAAAATATGCTGGTAGATTCAGTGTAGAATTTTACCAGACCTTCTAAGAAGAATTAACATAAATATCACTCAAGTTCTTTTTACAAAATAGAAAAGGAAGGAACACTTTCAAAGTGTGTGTTTATTTATTTATTTAGACAGTGTTGCTCTGTGTAGCTTTGACTGGCCTAGAACTCACTATGTAGACGAGCCTTACCTAGAACTCACTGTGTATATTGGCTGGTCTAGAACTCACTATGTAGACTAGGCTAGCTTATAATTCGCAGAAGTCTGCTTCCCTCTGCCTCCCAAGTGCTTA